TAAGACAAAAAAATGGACATTTTTGCAAAATTGTTATTGGCGAATAAAATTTTGACACATAACCTGCCATATTTATTTCAAAAATATACATGTTAAATCACAATAAATGCTATATTTTTTGTTGACTCAGAAATGTCGAGAACGAAATTTTCAAATGTAAATAAATGTCATGTTCAAAATAAAATGTAATTCTAGACAAATGAAACGATGTTCAAATGTCGAGAATGTCTTCGTGTCACGGAGACGTGATTTTTTCATTTTTTTTTAATGAAACGGTATTCAAATGTCGAGAATGACATATGTAGTATCGAGAATGTCTCTGTGACATGGAGGCAAATGTTGAGAATGTCTCCGTGATACGGAGACGTGATTTTTTCTTTTTTTTTTAATGAAACAATGTTCAAATGTCGAGAATGATATATGTAATGTCGAGAATGTCTCCGTGACACGGAGGCACTTGTCTCCGTGTTACGGAGACGTGATTTTTTTGTTTTTTTTTAAAGTATCATATTTTTTGTTTTCACGTTATTTTTTTAAAGTATTATATTGGATCAATCACACCTACAAAATGGAACTCAAAAGCAGGTTTGGCTAAAACTAAAATAAGTTCAATTTAATTTTTTATTTTTCAAATATTGTTGTCTATTGTTTTATACTGTATCGTCCACTGTTAATATCCAATATTTTCCTCAACAAATAATGAAGAAACAAACTCTAAAATAATCAAATGCCATAATGTCTCTATCTAAGGGCATAATAGACAAATTGACACTAAATTTAAATAAGTGGACACTTTTCAACTCATACCCTTATATTGGACATTCTTGAAAATGCCTCATATTTATATAGGTAATATCATCATTGTCTTTGCGATATTGGATCAATCACACCTACAAAATGGAACTCAAAAGCAGGTTTGGATAAAACTAAAATAAGTTCAATTTAATTTTTTATTTTTCAAATATTGTTGTCTATTGTTTTATACTGTATCGTCCACTGTTAATATCCAATATTTTCCTCAACAAATAATGAAGAAACAAACTCTAAAATAATCAAATGCCATAATGTCTCTATCAAATAAGAGTAACAAGCCAACACGCCCTTCAGGGGGTGGCCAAGTTGGTAGAGTATGTGAGCGCGGAGACTTTTCATTACGAATTCGATTTTCCCTACCAACGCTTTTCTCAATCGAATTTGTTGTACCAGGGCTTGCCTAATGCGATTTACCTGATTGACGTGGTTTGCAAGCTATTACGTCAGCTCAAGAATTTACCCAATGCACACCCGAAGGATAGTGACTTTCAATTCCCTCGTAAAAATAATAAAATAATAAAAAAAATAAAATTTATAACAAGCCAACACTAACTAAAATTTAATAACATAATCTTTTATATTATTCGATCACTAGAGTTTGTTATAGAACAATGAAAACACAACACCGTGGCAATACAATTCTCAACTTCTAGCTCCTTTATTAGTCCTAATCGAACGGTTGTAAATCCTCCTGAGGTTATTCCGCCATCGCTGAAACTGAACAATTAGGCCATATTTTATTTATTTGTTTAGGTGGTTTTTGTTTGAGCGTGGGATTATGCTCAAAGAAATTGGATGGCCTTAGCTCAAAACCACTGCTCAGAGTTGGCATAATAGGAAAATGTTCTTGGTATGGAACATGGTGAAACCCTAATGTGTACCATAAAACAATGTCCCTGTTCTCGATTTCCCTGTTCCTGCATCATAAGATTTGCGACTCGTTAAACCTAGTTAGATTAAACTACGTTAGACGTGACTAAGAAAGAAAACATTGTTACAGACACTAGTGAAATTTCGTTCTACAATTGAGTTGCTAAATTTAAATGTTGGTTTATGATTTGACAATTCCCTCCATATTTGTAAATTTGACTAGAAATAATTAGACTGCCACGTCATCTTTTTGTTAGTCAAATTAACAGAAATAGATAGAGTGACCAAATTGTAACAAAGTTGAAGTTTAAGAACCAATTTTAAACAAAATAAATTTAATTAACCGACGCGAAATTTCGCTTAAAAGATCAATTTTTCGACTCTAAAAGTTAAAATCTTATTCGTTGTAACTAAGTGTGAAACCCAAACATGACATGCTGGACTAGTAATATAGTGCAATACCTTAGGCTCCATGTTGCCAAAGTGTCATCTCCTCTGCTTTGATCTGTATATAATCCTGCAGCCCATTTCTCAGATTTATTATATGGTGTAACCCACACATTATACTTGGTAAATGCAGCCCGGATTTGTGGATAATCATCATCCATCAACAGAGAACCTGCCACTGATTGAGGTATCAAACGGTAGCCAACACAATTCCCTAACTTAGTCTTCTTGTTCGGGTTCACGACCAATAGCTCGGCTGCTTCCGAACCAAGCTGAATCCTTGCATCAGACTCGGTTTTGACGGTTTTGCTGTTAACAGTCCAATAGCTCGTCCTCTTTGATTTGTTAGCACGCATCGTCTGCAGTTTTTTCTTGACAAACGAATTCGCATCTCCATCCACGTCTAAATCGAGGTGGAACGCGAGGAAGTGATCATGGTGAGCTCCAATAGTATTCTCTGCTACTAAAGTACCGTAAACTTCCTCTTGTATCTGATCCTTATGAGTATATACTGATCCCTTCACTTCAAGCATGCCCGTCATTCCAACCTTAGAAAATGCAATTCGATTATCATAGTAAGATCTTAGAAATAGTACAAATAATTATTTAGCTCTTCTATTATGATGATTCCCTAAAAATGGTATAATGTGACTGCTCCCAAGTTAATACCATCTACCCCCAATAAAGTGTTGTAGCGTGTAAAACAAGCAGGATATGCTGTAAAACTTGAAGCAATAAAGCAAATAATTTGGTTTCTGATAATTGATTATTTTACTCACAGTGACTTTAATTGTGCCAGTTTGCTTGAATTCCCAATCAACAATGTAGTCATAGTTCCCTAAAGTGGATACCGTTCTTACAACCAGGTTCACTTCTGGTCTGACTTCCCTTATCTGTATAACAAGCTAGTTTAAGAATCAATCTTAATTTAAAACATCAAAAATGAAACAATTGTACAACATAGGTCTAAGTGTCTAACCACTTTCCCCAAGATCTCAGTTTCCGTGTGGCGCCACATTATATCTCCAGAGTATCGTTCAAATATGCAAAGCACATTTGATATCTTTCCCGGTGTTCCATCGTGTCCAGAGAAGTATCCATCCATAAATACTGCATTTTCCGGGCAATCTCTTAATGGTTCGAGTGGCACAGCACATAGACCAAATCCATATTCACCTGCATCAAAGAAAATCCTAAAGTACCATTCTTCGGTAAGGTCCATGTATGGCACGACCAGTTCTGATATAAATCCTCTATACATCACACGACGTTTCTCATCCTTCTCGGGATCATAGATTGATGCTAATGATATTACTAGGCCGGCTCTCATGTCAAAGGCTAGATGGAACTCCCAATTAGCCCACCTAAATTATTCACAACTAACAGAAAAAATGTTAGCCATCAATATTAGATCACAAACAGAGTAAGAAAATTTATTTGTATGCACAAGAACACACGAAGATTTCCAATTATATGTAGGATTTTTGTCAATTACTAGGTTGTCCACTCGAAATCAAGAAATGTGCAAGTCCCCTCTCTATGTTGTTCTATGAATACTGATAATTGAATTTATTTTCTCGCTTGACATAATCTGATTGTTTCCTCAGTTGTTTAGCAATGAGGACAAGATAGTATTAGACAAGTGGAATATTACAAGCCTTTTAAGTTTAATGACTTTTACCTTACTATATGTCCATCAATACTGAAACTTGGACCATCTGGTTGTCTCTATGTTGTTCTATGAATACTGATAATTGAATTTATTTTCTCGCTTGACATAATCTGATTGTTTCCTCAGTTGTTTAGCAATGAGGACAAGATAGTATTAGACAAGTGGAATATTACAAGCCTTTTAAGTTTAATGACTTTTACCTTACTATATGTCCATCAATACTGAAACTTGGACCATCTGGTTGTAACATAGTAATACTTTTCAACTTTGAATCAAGCGGAGGCTTCTGCATTTCTTCTCTGTATTCAGTGCCTTCAGCTTTTGGGACTGGAACCGTTATCCGATCACGATAGGCGATGACTTTCATTTGGTCAAGATCAACTGTCGCTGTAATTCCCTCTATAGGTCTCATGTACAAGTTAACAGTGCCATCTAAGTAATAGCACATAACTCTAACAATCCTATTACTCCTTTTCTCCCCATACCATCCAACAGTGAAAGGGAAGCCAACAACTTCTTCAATCTTAAGCCCTCGTTTCTTGATCGAGTCAACTAATGGAGCATACGCTATTGCTAACTTGCTAGCTGCTGTTTGCTCTTCAAAGCTTAGTATGGGGTAGCCATGTCCATTGTAGACTTTATCTAGTACAATCGAATTACTCGATAAGTCGATGATGATTTCATGGGATTTTAGATCGATCCGGGCTAAAATAATTGCTCGACGACTCAGATTTTCATCACAATTCGATTGCCATGAGAGGAATAGTGATTTGTCTGGCTCGTCTAAGCCTACATAGTGGAAGGACACATTATGTTGAGAGGAGGGGTAGGATTTTTTTACTATAGTTTGGACTTGGATGAGTTCAAATTGAGTGAGAGTGTCTAGCGGATGGTTTTTTTGAGCTGATAGAAGGGATAATATGCAGAAGAAGGAGAGAAACAATAGGAGATTTCTGAGAACTCAAAACATGGCTATTGCCCTTTGTAAAATATCTCTCATGGGGTTTTGTTTTCATTTAGTCTCATTTATATAATAATGGACACTTGCAGGTTTGTATCATTTTCAGGATACATAATCGAAAAAGAAAATTCAGTGCATTGCTTTTGATAGAATTTTGTTAGCCGTTACATGTTAATTTGGACCATTGAAAATTTTGATTTTGTAACAGTGATTTTTTAAAATTATTTTATTAAGATAACGTGTAATTGAAAATAAATTTGAAGAAAAATGAACAATTAAAAAAAGTTGTTCTATCACTGTATAAACTCTTTTTGTCACGTCTCCATGCTGGGATCCAGTTGTAATGGGCGACATTTACTGAAGGCGTTTAACAATCTTATTTGTGTTTATTTTATCTTATCTTAAAATTTTTTTAATTCAACATCTTATCTTTTGTAGTTTTCTTTCGAAATTCCAATGATTGAAAATTCATATCGGCATGGCTGGTTCAATCAGAGAAACCGTGAATCTGTCTAGTAATTATTCGGTTGTCACCGGGTATTCAATAATATAGAAATCGGTAAGAATCCGGTAAAATAATCGGTTTGACCTGAAATCCATGAATCGGACATGGTTTTTACGAGTTTTTCTGGATGCAGTGTTAAACCCAAAAAAAAAAAAAAAAAAGGCCATAGATAAAGGATCTGAAGACGAAGCTTTCCTGACATGCCAAGTTATGTGAAAGATTGTTTAGGTAGGTTTGAGTAATGACATTGGCCCGCTGCTACAGTAAGGGACATGTGAGTTCCCTGTACTTGGGGCTTTTTTGCATTTTTAAATGAGGTGAGTCCCGCACACGTGAATAGCATGTAAAAGGCCTGTAAATCCCCATCCTAGCATACTAGAATTATTCTTTAGTTTATGTAATGAAATGATTAATTAAAAATAATTAGCATACGTTAAAAATTCTTATATTTAGTATTAATATCTTAAAAGCATATATTTATATAGTAATTTATATTTTTTAAATAGTATATGCCCTTGCTTGATTTCCATTTTGGGGGAAACAATATATTTTGAATAGTAGAGTGATGAATAATATGTGGTTAAAAATTAAAGAAAAATTTTGAATTTGCGTGTAATATTGTTTTATTGAAAAATGTCTAGTTGAAAATGAGTTTTGAAATGATGAATTTTTAGAAGAGTATGAATCAAACAAGGGCTATATATATATATATATA